GCCCCACTTTACAGGGACACCTCCCACATTTATGGCAAATGCAATTTACCTTTGGTTCTGTGTCAAAAGCTCTGATACTTTTAAAATGACCACCAGGAAGTAGAATTAAGATGAGGAACAACTGGCAGTGGCGTGACAGCACTGCGGTGGGGGTCGGCATAAACTGAGCCTCCCAGTGTTCACCCCCACACTACAGAATCCTCGAAGGGGACAACTCCCAAATGGGAAAGCCTCTAGGAAATCTTTTTTGCTTGTCATGTCTTTGTTGGTGGTGGGAGGGCTTTTGGGATCTCCCAAGGTGTTGATTAGGAAACTGCCTACCTTCTGAGTTTAATGATGTGTATGGAAGACTTCCCATTCTATTCAAAGCCCTTTCCTCTATAGTTGTTTTCTGTATCTCCTTTTGAATCAATTCCACCATCTCTGTCTTCTCTCCTTCCCATCTACCCCACCGCATGCACCCTCGCTGAAGTGGCTGAGTTGAAAAGCTATCCCTTAGAACAAATTCTACTTCACTGATACTTTATTGTTTACTTGTTCTTAATTTCAGTTGTATGAAGGCAGTTACCATGAAATGCTATGGGAACCTACCTCACTTATGTATAAAGCCAGTCATTAGGGCAAGACTAATTACAAATAGCAAATTAAAACTTCGCTTGGATTGAGTGAGACTATTGTGATGGTTAAAGTTGCTTATTTCCAACTTTTACTTTAGTGCTCTCAGAAGCCTCCTAGACCTCCCCAGATCAAAGTGGTCTAGAAGGACAAGGCCTTATGGCCTAGGCTGAGTTTACACAAGACAATGAGAGATCTTGGCTGTTGTAATTATCTTCTCAACGTATCAACTGGCCACTGGCCTTCTCCACTAGACCCTATCTTACATGGCATCTCAGCGGACTCTCATTTTAATTCTTTATTACCTCATAGATGTAACCAGCAGCTCCACAGCCAATGTTACCTCTTGAGGGACTTAATTGATCAATAATTCTGTTTAAAATCCAGCAGAGCATTGCAGTGAATGGGCCTTTTCTCTCCATTGGTACCTGTATTTTGGTTTTCTTCTTTTTTGCTGTGGATGAGGATATCTCATAGATGAATGATGCCAGTGTGGACTTGGAGAATACTAATATGGCAATGGGTCAGGACATGAGTGACAGGGAATAGAACAACAGTGGGAAAACATCTGGGACATGCCTTGGAGACAAGAGACATAAAGGCCAGGCAAGAAAGAAGAGGGGAAAAGAAGTGAGAAGTCACATTAGAAAACAGGAAAGCATTGATTCAATCAAGGGCATAAACTTCATTGAGCAGGTGGAAAAACTGACATTGTCTGGTACTTGGAAAAAAGGTTTTGTTCTGAACACTCCTGGTCTTGGATAAAAGGAAGAAATTTTAACCGTCCTAGAGAGTCAGGAGTTGCTTCTGGAACTGGTAGAATTGTGCCTGGCACTTACTAGAAATGGCTTTGTTTTCTGAAACATGAAGATGGGGAAAGCTTATTGAGAGATCATCTGATTGTGGGTGTGAGTTGCCTGAGGGAAGGAAGTGATATGGAATAAATTAAAATCAGTTGCATGGTCAATGGGTAAAATGAATGAAACTAAATTCTGGATCTCATTTATATGTAACTTCTTTCATCAATATGTGCTGTGGGAATTCTCACTGTAAGAAAGTTATTGCAAATCAGCTTGTAAGTCCCCTCTTCTAAGAAGCCTTCCTTGATTCCCCTCCCTTCTTGATTTTTTCCCTCCTCCTTATTTCCATAACTAGGGTGAGCAGGTGTCCCAGTTTGCCCAGGACAGTCCTGGTTTGCACCTGTTGTCCTGATGTAATCATCAATAGTACTCCCTTTCATTTCTCCTAAGTATCCTGGTTTCACCCTTTCATAATACTCTGCACTTCTCCATATCATAGCACTCACTGATCTGTGTAATAAATGATTTATCTATATCCTTCATTAGACTGAAAGCCCTCTTAGTACAAACGTCTTGTCTGTCTTGTTAGCTGTTAAATTTTCAATGCCTAATACTGAGCCAGGCACACTACTGGTACTCCAAAATGTTCATTAGATAGGTGAATAAATGCCTATGATCCAACTCAGGTTCCCTGGGTGGCCTGGCAGAAAATGTTTCATGGGCTATTCTGAGCAAGGTAACAATCACATGGAGAATAGGGGAATCAATTAATCAAAAGCCTTTCCTGTCCCCACCCTTAGGCAAACTGATTAATATACGTTGGCAGAGTCCAGCTCCCTCTGTCATCTGAGTGTCGTCCTGTACAGGCAGCCCAGGTCACTCTCTTTCTGTGCAGTCATTGTTGTATCTCAGGGCCAGCATGGGCTGTTGTCCACATGAGATAATGCTGTCCTGAAAGACCTGCAGCCTGAGAGTAGCAGAGAAGAGGGGCAGCAGCAGGGGCACTGATGACCAGGTCCAGCTTGCCCAACTCGCTGGTGCTGGGATCTTGGTCAAAGCCCTTCACCTCTTAGCCTTGCAGGAGAAAGGTCCCTTCCAGCTGTCATCCTCTGCAATTCAGTGACTATCCTAGGGTTCACTAACACATAGCAGCCAAAGTCTACGGGCCAGGAATATAATCATCTTGGTGGAGAACTAGAGATTGCCTCTGGGGTTCTCCACCTTCAGTTTTGGTAATGATTGTTGCTCAGTAGGGCCTTTCCCAGGGTCCCCCATGCCTCCCTGAAAGCCCTGCTAATCAACCGTGAGGTACTGGCTCCCCTGCCAGGCAAAGATGAGGAGCATTTAGAAGTATAGAATCCCAGGTAACCAGCCAAGTATTTAACTAGGATAATCTAGAGCAGGTGACTGGGAAAACGTTCTGGGCTGTGATTGAGAAAGAATGCAAAGGATCAATCAGAGATGCAATGAAAAACCTTCAACAGGGAAGTGGCAGCATGGGATGAGAAGGCAGAAATACTCAATATGGTGTGGGAAGCAGTGGGCAAGGCTGGAGGGGCAGAGAGAGTGAGCAGCGTGGATGCTGCTGTCAATCAGGAAAACACCTGAGTGGCGTGTTTTTATGGAGTCGTGGGTGTGTGAAAGGCCCAACTGCTGAGAAGGCCTGAAATGCTAGTGACTATCAAGGGTTCATACAGAATCATGGTTGGGGTTATCTGAAATTTAACAGAGGATTCCTGAAGATGCAAACCTTCACCCAGAAGGCAACTTCTCACATGAGGGAATTTCAGATCGTATGGCAAGCCTAGACGAGGGGCTATTTGGAGCCACTAAGATTGAGTCATAAAGCTCCCGCATACGCTGCCTTCCTCTGAAGCCAGAGTCAGTAAGGTAAGCCAGGATCTGGCGGGGGGTGTTGAATAGGACAGGTGAAAGGTCTTACAGCTTTTTTATCCTCCAGTGTTACCTGAAAGCTGAGGACAAGTTGGTCATTTAGGAGTAGAGACAAAGACATAAGTCTGTGCTTCTAAAACTGTCCCTTTTGGAAGGGTGAGCATGTGCCCCTGGGTTCTGGGAATATAAAGTACTTCCCTAAGAAATAGGAGGTTCTGCTGGGACCTGCCCCACATCTAGGAGTTGATCAACTGCTACCTGGATACTTTGAAATTGAGGGTTCTCAGCCTGGGGGCTGCTGCCAAGGAAGGAATCACAGACTCTCAGATAGTGACCTCTTATGTCCTCAGAAAGCAAAACATTCCCTGGGAACTTAGTCAATGAAGCCAGGATGGCTCAGAAAGCAGCCTGCTCCCTCCCTGCCACCTCTGAAACCTGGGGTTTTAGAATCTCCCTGACAGTTTGGCAACATGTGAGGTAACAGCAGCAGAGCTGATTTGCTAATCTGCCAGAACTGCATCCAACATCCTTCTGTGCACTGACACTAGAGTCATGGGAAGGCACGAGCTCGGCCACTGTTTGCCTGCTGAAACTAAGCTGTGGCGTTCTCTGCATAATTCATTTGTGCATGAAATGAAAGCTTAATAGCATAAGTAAAGCACTAAGCAGAAATAGGTGGTAAATGTCTTTTTTAAGTCTTAAAGATAGACTCTGCTTCACTTATAAAGCCCAATTTGGTATTACTTAATGGCATAAAACATTTTTCTCTGGCACCGTACCTATCGAGTACTTTTTGGTTCCCCTACATTCCCGGGCCTCTGCCTGCTGAGAAGGTCAGCCCCTCATCCCCTTGACTCTCTCTGACCCCCCAGTCATGTCCTTGCAGCTGGCACTGAGCCCGGCATTCTGTCCTCACAGGACCTCTTACCCTCCTGCAGGGCCCACTCCAGCAGCAAAGGCTGGAGGCACCCAGGTTCCAGGCCAGGGCAGACCTGGGCGCTCCAAGGTTGCTGGTAACTGAGCTCGGGGAAGGAAAGCCATGCAGTGAGCTCAGAGGGGCAGCAGTAGCCAGGGATGGGAGTTGTGAGTGAGAGGAGTTGGCCTCTGTTCTTCCAGAATTAGGAAGGGCTCTGCTAAAACAGCTGCTTCTAAATAGAGGAGCCTCAGGCCAAGTGAGTCTGCTAAGAACCGGCTCAGTGGTCAGATGGGTCAGGAGTCTAGCACAATGGGCTTTGAGCTTTGTGGGTCTCTTTCCGGTTATCTCTTGCTGCAGAAGAAGTTATCCTAAAACATAGTGACTTAAAAGAACAATTTTATTTAGCTCACAATTGTATGGTCTAGGAATTTGGGAAGAAATCGGCTACACTGCCGATGCAGTGAAGTGGCTCACACCTGTAATCCCAGCCTGACCAACATGGAGAAACCTCATCTCTACTAAATATACAAAACTAGCTGGATGTGGTGGTGTATGCCTGTTAATATCTGCTACTTGGGAGGCTGAGGCAGGAGGACCGCTTGAACCCAGGAGGCAGAGGTTGTGGTGAGCTGAGATTGCGCCATTGCCTAGGCAACAAGTGTGAAACTCCATCAAAAAAAAAAAAAAAAAAAAAGAAAGGGAAAGAAAGGAAGGAAGGAAGGAAGGAAGGAAGGAAGGAAGGAAGGAAGGAAGGAAGGAAAAGAAAAGAAAAGGAAGGAAGGAAGGAAGGAAGGAAGGAAGAGGGGAAGGAAAGAGAAAAGAAAAGAAATTGGCTGGGCCATTCATCTCTCTGAATCTCATGGTTCCATGTGGGGCAGGATCCACTTGTAAGATGGCTCCTCACACCCATGTCTAGCACCTCCTGGGTCTTCTGCTTCTCTCTGTCTCTGCATGCTTTCTGGGACCTCTCCAGTGGCTTCAGCTTCTCATACCATGGCCCTCAAGGTTGGTGCCCATGAGGAAATGATTAAAAGCAAGCATAGGAAGAGGCACAAGGGGAAGCTGCAACTTCTGTGACCAAACTTCTGAATCTCCAAAGTCACACAGCGGCATTCTGGACTTAGCAAGCATGTTGGTAAGTCCAGCCATGGCTAAGGGGAGAGGAGGTGTCAACCTCATCTCTGGATGCGCACACAGGGAGGGAAGCATTGATGTATGCCACCTTGGAGGCACACTACCACAGTGTCCCAGTCACTCAGGTAGACCCAGGCTCTGAGCCCCACTCATCAGTTCTCACTCGTAACCAACACACCTGCATACTTGCAAAGATGCATGCCTATGCTCCCAAATACACATCTTTCCAATAGGTCAATTGCATTGGCAGTGGGTACGTACTTTACAGGTTTAAAGGGTGCCTACAGACTCAAATTACCTTTAGATGTGGAAAAATGTATTTTGAAATATACTTGAGTACTTTTATATTAGCTCAGTGGACCAAGACTAATGCATTATCCTGGTTCTGTGGCTCACATTCTGAAAACCAAAAGACTAGCCCACTCAATTACATGGCTTTAGCTCCTCAATGGCAATGCCCCGCCTTGAATACAGGAATCTTCAGGTCTCTGGCAAGCACCAAGCCAACAGTTTCTGCTGCAAGTGACAGGATGGGGATGAAGAAGAAGTTTTGAGTCCTGAAGTAGAGGATTGCCCAGCCAGTTGGTGACTCTGGTGGCAGCTTGCTTCCACCTCCACCTCCCTTTTCTGGTTGTCCTTTTCTTTAATTTCTTTTCTTTTTTTATTTTTATTTTTTGAAATGAGGGTCTCACTCTGTCGCCAGGCTGGAGTGCAGTGGCATGATCTCAGCTGACTGCAATCTCTGCCTCCTGGGTTCAAGCAATTCCCCTGCCTCAGCCTTCCAAGTAGCTAGGACTACAGGTGCGCACCACAAGACCCGGCTAATTTTTTGTGTTTTAGTGGAGACAGGGTTTCACCATGTTCATCAGGAAGATCTCGATCTCCTAACCTTGTGATCCTCCCACATCGGCCTCCCAAACTGCTGGGATTACAGGCATGAGCCACCGCACCCAGCCCTGGTAGTCTTTTTCTTGCTCATGAAGAAATATCATAAAACAAACCAACATGTGAACACATCAGAGACTAAGTTAACTAGCTAAAGGCTTTTACCAGGTCTACCCATGAGGGATAGCCCTCCTGCCAACATAACTTTTGAAACCTTTTATGCTGAAAGAATGCCTTTATCCTAATCTTGACTTAGTTATTAAGCAACCTTATATTAAGGTTGACTTTGCAAGGCGTTATGCCCAATTCCCTTAATTCATTCATTTTCCCCATTTTTCCTTAACTGCCGTGGGTGGGGAAAGGCAAATCTACCACAGTGAAATATTTGTTTGAGTTATTATTTCTTTGATATTTGATTCCACTACTAGACTATAAGCTGCATGAAGGCGGAAGCTGTGTCTGTCTTATTTATTATTACAAAGCAGTGTGTATTAAATGCAGAATCTGACACATATAGACACCCGTCAAACTGTTCTCCAATGAATGGATGAATGAATTTATTCAACAATGTACATTAAGCAAGTACCATATGCCCAACACTGTGATGGGTTCCAGGGTTATAACAACGAATAAGATGTGGTCGCTGCCCTCCCGGAGCTCAGACCACATCTGTGTGGTCTACTTATATTTCTTAAGTATTTCTTCCTTAGCCCCTGGATTGCTGCACTGCTCATAAACTATCCAACCATATGGGGGCCATCCTTGCTGCACAACAGCCCAGATGGTGGCTTCACCAGGCAGGATTATTTAGGGGTGATCTTCTCCCAACCACCTCCCTTCCCAGCTCTCACATAATTACCCAACATGCCTCATAAATAAGGGAAAGGGGTGGGATTGCCTTCACCTCGTGAGCATAAATGTTTTCTAAATGATATTGTTCCTGCAGCTTCCGAGAGCCTCATAAACACGCCTGGCCCTGGATTTATTATGCGGTGATAATCCCTCTTAGCCAGCTGGTAAGATTCATAGCTCTGACCCCTTCCCTGACTCCCTCCTCTCCCTGGCCTCATGCAGGGGAACTGGGGGCTGAGGGTGGAAGGTCACAGAGCCTGAGAGGGCGGTGACATGGGCCAGGAGGCAGGCTGGCAGACGCCCAACCGACTTTGAGAAATGCTGCCTTTCCCTGAGACATCTGCTCCCAAAGTGTTTCTAGCCAGCCTGCCCCCTGCAACCGCCCAAGGAGTTCCCTGGCAGAAAGCAGGTCTCAGCAGGAGCGAGGGGGCCATGCACAGCCCTGCCACTCTCCTCTGCCGGTTTGTCCCTGCACAGCCCACACGCGCCCATGCTGGGACTGCTGCGAAGATTGCTGCAGGCACCAGCCGACGGCTCCAGAATGCAAGCCAGCCCCTGCCCACCTGCCTGGCTACTCCTGGTTTGCAGCTTTGCTGGATTCAAGACCCCCCCGCACTCATTTTGGCTGTGTAACTCAGATTCTCTACCCCTGTATTGACAGCTGGGGTGTAAAGCAGCTACCCCATTTCGCCTCAGAAACTCAGCTCATCATGATTTCTGTTCTCTGTGATTTAGCTTCTGACATTGAAACTGTGGACAAGAGATCCTGGAGGGCAGACCCTGAAGTGCTCTCTTGCCTGGTGGCCTCCCGACAGAAGAGGAACCCAAGGCTTTAGACTGATTTCTGTAACACTGAGGCCAAGTGGTCGTCGGTCTTCGAGGGCACGTCCTGTGCAGCCTCTTTTCTGTGTGGGCAAATGAGTGTCATCCAAACCTGTCTCAGCCATACTGCTTCAGGCCTAAGGCTTGGTTTCATACGGTGACACATTAGAAAGAAAAACAAATCTAACTCCAAAAGCTTTGGAAAAGCCATGTAATTTTTCCCCTAAAGGTTCTTGAAGAGACGGCAAAGGGAAACATATATCACATCACACAGAGAAAATCATTCTAAAAGCCCTGTTTACTAGTCTGTCTCCACAAGTTCCTACCACATCCAGCAGCAGAGGCACAGTACATGGCTATACAGGTTGGGCACTGCACAACCTAGGGGACACCATTCACATTTGTAGTGATAACCGATACGTATTTATTGTAGGAATTTTCTGGCAGATGCTACTCAAGTGTCTTGAAGAAGGAATGTCTTCCTTCGATTTGCATAATGGTGTATGTGGGTAGTGACAGAAATATGTGAAGCTTTTCTCATCCCTGTTTTCCAACTCTTCTCCCCCAAATCTCCAGGCTGATTCATTTCCTCCATTTCTCTCACTCAATGCATTCTCTCAACCCACCCCCCACCACCCAACACACACACACACACACACACACACACACACACCTCCCACACCCACACACACCTCCATCTTTTCTGTGGAGGGGAGTTCATGCTCTCTGCAGGCTATGAGTTTAATCTCATATCCTTCCAGGTCTCTGTCTGTCCTCTGTTGTCACCATCACTGTGGAGCAGGTCTGCAGTAGCAAAGGGTCCTCCTTACAAAGTGACAGTTATCTTTGTCTCACTGAGAGAGACTCCAGGAGCTAACACTGTTAAGAAAAAAATTTAAGAATCTAGAGAAGACACAAGAAGCAACCTCACTACTGGAACAGGAGACCATTTGGTCCTGTCCTCTGCCATCCCTGCAGCCAGGCATGTCTGGACATTCAGCAAAGGCTCTACGGACGTGTTCCCAGGAGCTCCCACGTATCTCTCTCAAAATCTGGCTTTACCTCTGTGGAGCAATTTTCGTTTTCTTTCTAAGTCTCTTTCGGGGGAGCTTAAGCCACAGTCTCTCGCTCAGGCCCACCATGGGGAAGGTACATGGCACATGCTGTCCCCAGCTCTTCCCTGAAAAAGATTTCTATATCAGCCATCTTCTCTCCAAACGATATCTCCAAAGTGTAGGCTGGGAAGGAAAAGACGGACCCTAATCAAACCCTGTCATGGGGCTACTCAAAGTGAGCATCCATGCTCACCTGCCCCTTACTTTTTCAGGTCTCCCTTTTTATTGGCATAGTTATGTTCCATCTCCCTCCTTCCCTTCCTCTCTCTCTTTCTCTCCCCACTCCTGATCCCAACTGGAGCAGTTCCTGGAGTTCTTGCTGAGGGTAAGAGGAAGAACCCCGCTGCGCCTTTCACCATTTAGCCAGCACTGCCAGAAGCGCTTGATTCCCTCCTCCCTCCCGCTCAGTTCTGCTCAGCAGAGGTTGCCTGCACCAGGGGCTTGCTTTTGGGGCCCAGGCCTTTGCCCCTCTAGTCTAGCTTCCAGCTCAGCACAGCAGATTTCTCCTCATTTGAATCTGGAGCATCACTCCCTTAATTAAGCACATTAACCCTTTCAGGACAGCAGTGTCCACAGACAGACTTTCTTGCATCAGATTCTCCTAGAATGACACCACTGTTCGCACCCCCTTGTCTTCCACGCAGGTCTCTTGGGGGTTGCTGATTGACCAAGGTCCCTGCCCTTTCTTCCAGTCATGGGCAAGTGAACCTCAATCTAGAGCAGCCAGAGCCCACATCCACGTGGTGAAAAGGGGCTCCTCTCTCTCTACTACTTTTTTTCTGGCTTCGCTTTCTGTTTTCCTCCATTCTCCCAGCTCCTCTGTCTTCTGCCTAAATAACATATCACAATCTAACCGAATCAATCACCCTTGCTCAACAGCCTCCCCAGGGGGCCTTTTTGGAGAACGTGGTACAATCTTCCTGTCACTTTATCATCTGCTGAAGCCCAACAGCAGTGAGCGGTGGGTTCTGTCGGCACAACATCATGAACAATCTCTTTAGGGAGGGGTGGAGGGGAAGGGAGATGCTACGGCACACACAAGCCCCACCCTCAAGTTCTGCCTTCATGGGGGCAAGCCTGGCTTTCTAATCCCTACTCCGATGCCACACTCCTGCATAGATTCTGAATGTCTTTCCCCAGAGAACTCCAGAACCAGAATTGAAAGCCTCATCCTTTGGGGCTGTCAACTATTTCTACTCAACTGTCATCACGTTTAAAGATGGAATTATAAATTATCTATATTGGTGATAGAAGCTGGGGCAGGACAGAAGGCTGGAGATGCAGTCAGTGCAGCGCCAGGAGGTGAGAAAATGCATGTAGGATCTCCATTTTGAGTGGTGCACGTTGAGATGACCACGTCACTGAAACAGAGCAGAGAGGAAAGAAGTGGAAGGGAAGCTGGATTTGATTATGCAATGCTTGGAGAATAGGCCGTGGTGGTCATGTTACTCCGTGTGCCGTCATGATCCTCTGGCTGCTGTAGGTAGCCTAACATCCTGATAGCTGCCAAGACTCTCTGCCCAGCCCTTAGATGGAACACCCTGTCCCCAGCCCCTTGCCACTGCCCATTTCAAGGTTAGCACCTCTATTCTCCCTGCCTCTTATCTCTTCTGCTCCAAACCATCCCAGACCCTGCTGCCATAGACGTCTTCCTGAAACCCAGTTCTAAACTTGTCACTCATAAGCCTTCAACAGCTCCCCTCTGCCCATCAGTAAATTCCTTATTATGACCTAGCCCAGCATTCAAGTCCTCATGCCTCAGCTTCCCCTTTCTTTCTAGGCTTATTTCCATTTTGTGCTTCGAGAAACCATCTAAACTGAATCACCAATTAGCTCACAGTCTGCATTTCTCCTCTGCATTCCCATTGCATTTTGGTTCTGCCTCTTGGATCACTTTATATTTTGAATTACACTTATTTATGTGCATGTCTACCACACCCACTGTGTACCTAAAATGTCAGGACCCACATCTGGCTCCTCAAGCTGAGCTCAGAGCCTTGGACACTCAGTCAGTATAATGGGATCTGTTCCAGCCAAGAACTCCCTTCTGCCATGGGTTAGTGGATATCAGTGGTCACCTTTGCTCTGTCCTCAGGAAAAAATGAAATGAAGCAGAAAAAAAGACAAACACAGGCTTGCCAAGGAGCCTCTGAGAGAAAGAGGAAAACGTAGAGCTGGGTGTTTATTTCTGGCTTCCTGGGTTGTTTATTATCAGCTTTTCTCAGGTACAGCACACCCTTCACTTCCTTACCGACAATTACCGAGGAAGCATTCAGCTAATTTCCTCAACTCCAACTGCCTTTAGTAGAAGCTAATTTTAACATTGCTCTCAGTTGCTTTTCAAGGATGCAGATAAGTAGAAATGACAGACACCTACGTGCCTGCATGCCTGCCTCTCTGTCCGTGTCTCTCTTTCACTGGGTGGGCCAAAGGATGTGCAGAATTTAGGCGCAGCCACCCAGCCTCCACTGTCCAAACACGGACCAGACAGAGCCTAGGTGACTTTCTGGCTGAAACAGGGGAAATGACCCCAAAATGACGTAAATTTGGAAAACCATCAAGCATTTGTAAATGACTCCAGAGAGCCAAGAGCTTGGGTGTCCATCGGGCATCAAACGGTAAACAGTTTAACTGTATTGATTGTCATGAAGCAAGTGGGTACAACGTGTTAGAATGACAGACATAATGGGAGAGAAAATTCAGAACCGGGAGACTGGCTCCAGCCCCTAGCAGAGAAATAGCGAAACCTCTCGTGCAAGAAGCCTGAGGGTAGATGAACGCTAAGGAGCCCTCAGAACAATTCAATTCCCTGCACCATGGCGGAACCCCTGGATGCTAGGAGTAAAGCCAGCCAGCCTCTCTGCCACCTGCCCCAGGGACTATAATATCCCTGCCAAGAATTTGTCTGCTGTCTAACCTCAATCCTCCTTGCTCTTGCTTTAGCCCCCCTGTGCTTGCTCTACCTCAGTTTTGCTTTTCTATAAAAATAAAACTGCTTGAACAGTTACACACCAACATATTATTTGAATAACATGTACATTTTAAAAACAAAATGCACATGCTAAGATTCATGTTTTTGAACAAGATTATATTCCTATACATATATTGTGCCTCCAAATGTACTAAGTATTTCTTCCATCTACATTGTTTCATTTACTCTTCACAACAATTTCGTAATCCGAATACCTTAGTATTCTCTTTTTTCTGTGTTGAAAGAAAGAACTTCTGTGAGGTTAAGCAACTTCTCAGTGCTGCACAGCCTGTAAGCTAGTCTGGGGCTAGACCTCAGGCCCCCAAAGCCTTCATTTCCACTACTGTGGGCTGTCGCTCACCAAGTGTCTTCTAAAGGTGGTTTTGAAATGGGTGATGTTGGCCTCTCATTATTTAATGCCTCCTCCAATCTTTGGAAATGTTCATACATTCATTGAACAAATACCGACTGAGCACTAGTATATCCCAGGCACCAGATGGACATTAAATATTTGGTACACTGATTAGTCAAATGTAGTTCTAACAAAAGCTCTCTTCCTCCCACTAGTTGTTCTGGGGTTTCCCTAGACTCCCCCTGCATAAATCAAACTCTACCCTCACTCCCTGTTCCCCTCCAACTCCCCAAGTCAAAATCAAAGCCATTTGTTCCTCTGAAACTGCACAAATCCACCAATACACTCTGAAAGATTATTGACTGACAGCTGAGTGTCTTGGTTTTCCTGTAAGAGTTTCTGCAAATTTTTAAAAAGAGCATCAGGTCTTGCTGGGCACGGTGGCTCACGCCTGTGATCTCAGCACTTTGGGAGGCCAAGGCGGGTGGATCACCTGAGGTCGGGAGTTTGAGACCAGCCTGACCTACATGGAGAAACCCCGTCTATACTAAAAACACAAAATTATGCTGGTGTGGTGGTGCAAGCCTGTAATCCCAGCTACTTGGAAGGCTGAGGCAGGAGAATCTCTTGAACCCGGGAGGCTGAGTTGCGGTGAGCCAAGATCGTGTCATTGCACTCCAGCCTGGGTAACAAGAGCA